ATAGTAGAAAACAATAGAGCATTGATTGGAGGAGGACTAAGGGTTGTTTAAAATGATCAAAGTAAACTAACTTTACCTTAAAATTTTCCATTCTATGAAAATGTATTTGATAACTAGGCAGAAATTTATGGAGATGATAGTACATCTTATCTATAAAATATTATTATCAAAAATAACGATAAAATAAATGATGAACTATTCACATTTTACAAATATTAAAGTAGTGTCCCTATAAATTTTTAGAATGACTTTTCAAGATATGCTGAATTAAGATAATTCAGAAGTGGAGGACTAATTAACTTTAAAATGTATATTGTAGATGAATAAAATAGATATCTGAGCTTCTAAAAAGATAAACTAATACAAGGCCTCTACCCAAAAGATATAGATTAAGAGCTAAATAATATTTAAATTTCTATTTTTTAGCTCAATTAAAACGAAATCTAAATGTTTGGATAAAATATTATAAATTACTATGAATATGATTCTTAAGAATTCGCTTTTAAAATTAATGATTTAAAGATTACTGGAAACCTAAATTAAGTGCAATTCTTTTATATAAATTCAACTATTCAAACAAACTCAATTACTAAAAAACCAATTCTCTTATCAATCGAATTCAGAAACTGCAAATTAGGGGAAATCATTTAATAAATAAATACCAATATTTATTAATGCAACGAATGTTTGGAAGGTACTTATCAGATAAACGATCCACAAACACTGTATAGATAATCTATAGAAGAAAAGAAAGATATAAACCAATGCATAAACTGTCCTCAATCTGCTATTAGCTGCAAAGGAGATATGATATAATTAAAAAATGGTTTTTGGAGGCAAAGTAATTAAACAGATGAAATAATAGCATGTGATCCTATTATAAATTCATGTCAAGCAGAAAACCCTAATAGTATTAATTACTGCATAACTGGTTATTTAGGACCTATTTGCTAGTAATGCGATATTTTAGGAGAAATATGGAAAGGTTCCCGATATTCAGAATCTCTCAAGAGAGGAGTTTGTGGTATTTGTGAATCACAGTTTAAATAATGGGTTTTTATGATTTTAAAATTCATAATTTTAGAAGCTTACTTCTTGTATGTATTGGGAGTTTTCATCAAAAAGTTCAAATATACCCAAACATGTTATTATTTGAGAATGTTGAAGATTATGCCTATTAGTAGCAGTAGCATATAGGACTATTCTGGATTCTACATTAAAATTATTCTGAACTATTATTAATTATCTGCTCTTTTAATTCCATAACCAAAGAATATTTCAATCAATTTGAATTTGTTTAATGAAGTAATTGGTTCAGGTGGTATTCAAGTTTCTTTAGGAATAGATTGTC